CAATCAAAAGTTTAAGAAATAATATGTTTTTATTGTATTATTTTATAAGCTAATAATATAGACAATGAGAAAGTGACTTGTTACTTTTAGTTTTTTCAAGTGTTCATATATTTTCTTTTTTCGCACATACTATATAAAAAAGTAGTTGATAGAAGAAGTGTCTAAGATCAATCCAAAGAATATTAACACCAGATTTATAAAATTGCTTTGAAGAACAAAGACCTTACAAAAGCAATATGCAAGATGTCAAAATTTGCCATGGTTGCAAAATAGTAAAACTATTGGGCAAAACACATTATCAAAAATACAAGGTGCTTCAAAAAAATCGCAAGAGTTGTTTAACATGAATATAGAGAATTAACATAAAAATAAAATATAATAAAATAAAGGAGAAACAAATCATGATGCTATGTATTGTGACAAAGCTGATGCTCTAAAACATCAGGCATTGGAGGTTAGAATTTAGCACAGAAAAAAGAAAGAAAAAAATGAAAAAAATAATAAAATGCATCACAAACAATTTGTGAAACTTGAACATCTACGTTTGTAGGAGTAAAAGAATAGGAGATTATGGTAATTGCACAAATTGAGGAAACAAACAAACATTGTTGCTATAAAGAAGATATGATCGGTAGAGGTACAAGGCTTCCACAATAGTGATGAAACAAATATTGGAAGTTGAGCAAAAGTGGAAGAAAGAATCAATCGCTCCCAAATGGAAGGAGAAGACAACACCCAACTTCCATAAATGCTTCACTGTTTCCCACTCCAAACCCGATGCCGCCTCCTACCCGTCATTTCGCTCATTCAGACCTCGTTGATATGCACTCCTCGAAGGTAGGCCAGCTTTTGTAGGTTACCTTTCGTTGCTGCACATACAGAATAACCACTGGAAATATTGGCCTCGTTGTGAGTATTGAACATGTTGCATTTGATGCTCTGCACCTTGGGGTTGATGTCTAACTACCATATGCAGGATATCAGAGCGCGGATAATGAGACCACCTTCAGCACCAATTCCTCTAGCAAAGACACGATTCCACAACAGAGGTGAGATGATATTCCACAGGCAACATCACATGTTTTGCAATTCAATGTTTTTCTGCTCTTCCTGAGGATAATAAACTCCTGTGCAAGATAAGCTCCACAAATGATGTGTGCTTATAGCTGATTCAGCTGAGATGTCAAGAGCCGGAATGCTGTAACCGAACTCCACTACATGTTTAACGATGACCATGTTCCAACTCCAAGCCCAGCGTCTTCTCTTTCTTCCTTCTGCAAGCAGGGACAGTATTGTACATGATCGCACGTTTTTCCAGAAAATCCACCCAACTGCTTCGCACAGAAACCTTGCAGCGCCTCATAACCATATTGCTGCCACGAACTACATATTCGTGGCAAGCTCAAGATGATTTCGCATCGACAAGACTTACAAGCTCTAGAAGCTCAGAGGAGTGACGGCCCAGATTTGAACTCGAAATGGGTTGGGGCCATGGCTTTGTCATCGCAGAGAAACTGTTGTGCGGACTTCAGTTGGTAACTATCTTTATTCACAAGGATGTGAGCCGTAACGTCGCGAACTTTTCTTTTTCTCATCTGTACTCCATGCCCGCAATATCCCACTTCTCTAACCCACTTTGTTTTAAAATAACCTTTCAAATCGCGAAAACGCCATCAACTTCGCCTCTGGCATGCCTCATCCAACTTGCTGTGCACATGTTACAGCTCTCGCTTGGCCTGTGCCACACCAGATAACAAGTCACACTTCATTGTAAATCGTGCACCGAAGGTTTAAGAAGTACTAAGAGCTGAGTGTGATTACAACTGCAGCAGGGAACAAAGCATCACAATTGTCGTTCACTACCTTTGCTCGTCATCTGTTTGTGTATGCCTGCCAATTCTTCTGCAAACCAGCAACACTGCAATGAAAAGGAAGCCGAGAGAAAAACAAACAAACAAACAAACATACAAACAAGCGAGACAAGCGAGACAATCGATGGGTAGAAGTATTGATTAAACTTCTTCAAATCCCCGACAGACAAAATTAAGCCTCCTCATGATAAATGTGGAATTGAGTCAACTCTTCCAATATGATGTGAATTACATAAGACGGCGGTCAATACGAATGAGGAGCTCAAATAAGCCAAAAGTAATTCACAGAGAACACAAGTCTTTTAGTCGTAGTAGTCTAGTAATAATCCACAAAATGGTACAATTGTCACCAGCACAATGACAGCATAGGCCGGATGAATATCACAACCTATTCTTTCAACTGAAAAGCATTTGATACCACATGAGCCTTGCTGTAGCGCAACGGTCTTTAATGTACATACCCAGGAGCCACACAGCCATAATTGTGTGCATATTATTATTTCCTTCACAATAGTCCCTCGTTTAACAAAGGTTTAGCCTATCTGCCCACCACAGGAGCTAAATCGAATAAAAATAGAAGACAGAATCACTAATTTGCGCTTCAAGTGCCCTGCTACATCCCCTTAGCAGAAGTATGTCATGTAATACAACCAAAAGTTTTCGTTCTTAAAGCTATCCATGAAAAACCAGACCTCCGAATTTCATGTCTTATCATGAAGTGCCGTAGCTTGTATCTACCAAGCTTGCCATTGTCAAAACAACTCATCGAGACGCCACCATTACTCAGTAACTGTCGCAGCGATGACAAAGAATAATGTGACTACAAAGAAAAAAGATTGCTAAACAATTAAGGTGAAAACCTACAATATATACAGGTCGCCAGCTACGAACAGCACCTAGAAGTAGGTGGCGTATTTGCAGTTTCTTTGTCAGCAATGACAACACTCTTTCGTCGCGGACCACTGGCAGGGTTATCGATACCCTCCGCGGCTCTTTGTTGCATCACACGACGAGCTATGTCCATGAAGGTCTCCTCGATGCCAGCGTTAAGTTTTGCAGAAGTTACAAAGTGAGTTGCCCCTATTGACTCTGCATACATCTCAGCGTCCTGCATGTTCCCGTGCAACGACTTAGCCATGTCGCTCTTATTGTCAGCGATTGACAACACGATATTTTTGGAAGCCATCTTCTTCAGCTCTCGCACCCAACTTTGAACACGGTCGAAACTGTCTTTGTCCAGCAAGTCATACACCAATAGCGCTGCATCAGCATCACGGTAGTAGATAGGACCAAGTGCATGGAATCGCTCCTGCCCAGCTGTATCCCAAATGCAAAGACTGACAACTTGTCCATCCACAGTCAAGCGCTTCGTTAAGAACGAAGCCTGAATTGTAGCCATTTGCTTCTCAGAGAACACATTGTGAACATATCGCAGCGCGAGAGATGTCTTTCCTACACGCCCATCGCCCAGGATCACAAGCCCAGCCCCCACCTAGCTCCCAGCCGCACCCGCACCCGCATCGAGTGGAGAGGCATCAACGACGGCATTCTGTTAAATAGGTTTAAAGATGTGGTTAGGAGACCTAAAGTGGTAATGAAGATCTAAAGTAGTAGTGAATCCTTTTCCAGAAGCTGTATACTCTAGGATCACGAAATTTCTAAACCAAATGGACAGAAATATTGTAAGTTTCTCAATAAGATTAAGGAGGGACACGGACAGTAACATTAAAAAGACTAGAACTGCATTTCACCGCTTTTCTCCGAGACAGTTTTAAGCAGTCAAGAAGTACAATGACACGACAAGGACATTTACGTATGTGGATGTCTTCAATTCATTCTCCTCTACACTTCCATCACTTAGCTACAAATTCAAAAAAAAATAATTAATTTGCAGTTGCGCTTTCTGTAGCCGAAAAAACTTCGATTACCCAATCTGCTGTTGTATCCTAACTGATCCGCCAACGAACGATCAGCCAAAACATATACTTATATTTCGCTCTCCCTCTCTCTTCCTCTAGAAATAATACCTGAAGGTTAAGGAAGGTGGGAAGCATATCAAAACGCCCTCTCACGCATGCTACCGGAAGATCACATGTGGAGAGCACGTCTGAATACAGAGCAGGTTACTAGGGGCCAGTTCTTGAACTCAGCAACAAAGAAACAATAGCACTGTGGAGATCGTTCCAGCATAACCCTTCAAGGAACGACTCAACACAGTCGGTAAAACAACGCTTGCAAGACCCTATAATTTATCGAGGATAACTCAAAAAACCACATCAACGAGCTAGATCACGAAAAGCGTATCCACACGCTTATCCCTCTTCAACAAGAGTCAAAAATCATCACTTCACATCACAAGAGACCACATCCCACCCATATAATCGGTAAGCCCCGATAACAACGACACAGAGCATCGGCAACGAACCTGTGAATAGACGAGCTCTCGAAAGAGAAAAACCCCGCAAGCTCCTCGTCACTCAAATACAACGAACACTCTCTCGCGGCTCCTCTGTTCTTCCATCACCGACCCATTGTAAATCCCAACGCCCTCCACGCCGGCCAAAATCAACCTCACGAACAACGCGGTAGATTGCAAACTTGCACCACCCGCTGATTCACGAATTTTATTCGTTTTTTTTAAGTCCAAACAGAATTATCGAAAGAAACAACGTCGCAACGCCCCGCTCGCCATTGTCGTATCTCTCCTCCTCCGATACAACAACAACAAAAACTCTACCGACTGACTGGAAAACGATGGACTGGGGTTGCAATGCACGCCTAGGAGCGTCAACGAAAAAGAAAAATCAAAAATAGAAAATCACAAAAAAGGAAAAAAGTAGGAAAAAAAAAAAAAAAAAAAAAAAGGCGGACATGACGGCGTAGGTATCAGTGCGCAGTCTCCCCGCGAGACCCGGTAATAGGTCCACACCCTCCCCTCCCCCATCCCGTCAAACTCGTGGAATCTACTACATATTCGTTTTGTGTACATGTTTCATTGAAGCTCTCTTCCCATGAACGTCCGACATTGTTGTTGTACCATTGTCCACGCTGGCAGCTGACTAGGATGCCCTCCGCCGGCCAAATTAACCTCACGAACAACGCGGTAGATTGCAAACCCCTACAATCCCAATCACATTTAAGGTTGACACACTGCACGTCGTCGTCAGTCTAGTTTTGCTTGCTTATCACCATCTCTGAAAGACCAATTTTGTGGCAGGGTTTTGATCAAATGTAAGCCTCTGATCGAGATTTCATCATGGAATTCTTGCGTCGGTTGAGGATCCATGCCTGTCTGATTGCTACGAGTTTTCGTGCCCCTGGGTTCTGTGTTTCCCGGATGTGCTGTGTTTTCCTGGTAGGGCTGTGTTTCGCTGGATGAGAGTGGGACGAAGAAGTGGATTGATTCTGTACAGTGCATCATTCCACTGTGATAGGTGTCTTGATGTGTGCGTGCACCAGAGAGCACTCTCAGTAGGAGTTGCTAGTTTCGTCGAAATCAGGGGTGAAATCAACGGTGATTTGGACTTCTCGAGCATTAAATGTTGTCCCAAGATTGTGTGTTTGCACGACAGGGCTACCTCACAAGAGGTCGATCGTGTCGTTTGAAGCAACGTCGGAATTGCATCCTACTACTTATAGGCAGTAATGCTTAACAGTGCGTGGTTTGGATTCACTGTGAGATGCTTTTGAAGCAGGTCATACCCTGTGCACTGCTGATTGGGTTCGTGGTTTGGATGCAGGTGTGACCTTGACTTCTGATCACGTCCGCCACTGTGGAGAAAATCTATTCAAAATGGCAACCAACAAGAGCTGTCGTTTCGTGCACCTGGGCAAAGTTGCGGCCATTGTCTGGCGTTGTTGTGCAGGTATAGCTGCTGTTGTGGACATAATGTTATGTTGTCTGAAGGAGCCGCGAGTGAGGCCGGGTGTGGGATTGTGGGATATAGAGGGCGGTTTACAGGGGCCGGCATTGCGTCGGTCAGAGATGGGAGAACTGTATCCAGCCCTGGTCCCAGAGGAAGACTGAAGTGCACTTCCGATACACCCGGTACCCCTCACCCACCAGTGCAGCTCCCCCAACGCACGAGCTATAATCCTTGAATTTCGAGCTGAATATTAACTATGAAGTGATCTTCATCTATCAAAAGATAAGGAAAAATTAAAAAGTGACAAAATTAAATTATACCTGTATGTGTGTATATGTGTGTATATGTGTGTATATGTGTATATGTGTGCATGTGTGTGCAATACACATACATTCTGCCCAAATGATTCCATAATCTTAGTATGTGTTTATGTGATTTTCAAAATTTATATATATATATATATATATGTAAACATGTTTTTAAATGTATATGTGAGTTTCTCTCTTAACATATATATATATATATATATATATATATATGTTTGCAAAGGTATTTTATTTATCATTGCTTTAAGAAAAAAATGTAGAAATGACATTCCCCAAAACATATGTTGCAAGTTTGTTTGACCAAGGGTAATCACAAATGCAATAACATCTTTCATGTGACTGTTTGCTAGGATTTGGTAATAATATAAAATAGTGTAAATCATAGAATTCACAACATACAAAAAAATGGGATTCAGATTTCCTAGTTATAAAAACTGTATTTCTACATGTTTCACATTCTAATGTGTAAGAATTGAAATGAATATTGTTGAAATAAAAATTGACTTTGAACTCCAACTGAAAGTAAAATACAAAAACAAATACTACACTGATTGAATGTTTCCCATATTGATTATTAGTTGTTTTTGATTGGTCATATCCCCTTCTTGCTCAAGTTGCATTGAACATAAAATAAGGACCTATTGGACTGTATCTAGTTGTTCAACTTCTAGACTTGTACTAGAACCACCTCCATGAAAAAAGCAAGTCTTTGGATTCTGTATAGCTACAAGTACTTACAATCACTTGTGTCTATGTTGCTAACAATTGCTTTTGAAGCAGCAAAAGGTACAAAGAAATCATTGATTCATCCAACGTTTATATTTAAATATCTTCCTTGTTTACAAATGCTCTTGTGATTATTTGAAACATTAATATGCTAAGATGAACCTACGCCACTATGTTGAAGTGATAGCTGAGATGACAATCTGAAAATAATGAGTAAAGTGGAAAAATTAGGTAAAAGTTACATATTGACGTTGTTGTGTTGTCGTCCGGCTGTTATATGAAAATAATGTAATTATGTACTTAATATATAATTTACTAAGTAACATGGTGAGAGCTATGTTAGTAGATTTTAGTTGGTTGTAGAATATAATTTGATTATTATCTTGAGAAGAGGTTTTTTAAGAAGATTACTATAGAATTTGTATAACTTTAATTTCTATTTAATAGTGGCTTTTAAGATTGGTTTTGATTGATAGTAACTTTTAAATATTTAGAGTCACCTTTGTTAGACATTGGTGACCTTTGAAAACTTATTTTGATTCTTTTATTTGATATTTAGAGCATAAATTATATAAATCTTATAAGAAAAAAGATTGAAGAAGACTTTTGGTAGCAAAGGAAGTAATTAAGGCACCAATATGGATGAATAGAGATAGATGATATAAATCTCTATTCCTATTGGCTAAAAATCACGTCTAATGGACTTGAAGGAGGCTGCGTGAGGCCATATTAGGAATTAGGATTAGTTTTTTGGAGCCATTCGAATTTTGAAGACTAAGATTAGAGAGCTCAAGTTTTTGGCTATGGTTTTGGTACAAATCTTATATGATTTTGAGTTTATCTGAAGGTGATATAGGCACTCAAAGTTAAGGTATTGATTTAGGAACTATTGTTACTCTTTTTGGCATAATGCACGTGTACATAGGAAAATTGATGATCGGCGACTATGAATGGAAAGAACACTTTTGCCACTATACTTTTTGCATATTGCTTGCTGGATTTCAAGTTGAGGTGAAGGAGATATTAGATTTTGAAGTCAGTGCATGCAATCTAAGGGTAGTAAGTGACCCAATTTACTAGTGGTTGTGTCTTGAGCTATATCTTGAGGAATTTGATAAGACTTTGGCTCAAAATTTTAGGAAATTTGTATATTCATGTTAGTAAAATTTATACATAATTTTGATGGCATTTAAGTTTTGGATTCGTGAGATATTAAGAAAATAGTGCTCAAGTGCTTGTAAATTAGGGTTTAGAGTATCTGCTAGGATTTCTTAAATGCCAAAAGATTTGAAGTGAATTTGTAGTTGGTTTTTTTTTGTGGTAAAATTTAAAGATGAATACTACCTATTCTATAAATTTGAGACAAATTGAATAGTTAAATCAAGTGTTATGAATTTCTAAAGTTCAAGAAGAGAAAACCTTTTATAGAAAAAGTATATTTTGAAGGGATTTTGCTATATTTTGAATTTTATGCATAATAAGAAAGTTTTGGAAGCTAAGATAAGATATATATAAAGATTTAAGCTAAAATCTCTACAGCTAGATATCTAGTGTATTCCTAGATTGCAAATTATAGAATATAACAACTTGTTTAGAACTTTTAGATTTGAGAAAAAATTTATGACTTTTAAAAGTGTCTATGTAAATATTCTCCAAACAACTTTTGTCTTCTTGCAAAATCCAAAGGATAGACTATGCTTAGTTTTTTATGTACCTAATTATTTGATTGCTATTCTTTCACTTGTTTTGTACTTGTTCTTCTTTGTTCTTGGTTATATGCATTTTTCACTTTTCACCTTGAATCACAAATAATTCTAAAATGAGACCATCTTTTAATTTGGAATGAAAGATGAATTTTATTCTAACAATGGTCAAAGACTAAGATCAAATTATATATAGTAGGTAGATTTAAAGTATAACATAAGATTTTATTGTGAATAATATAAGATTTAAGTATGATATAGAAGAATCTTATTGTGGTATAATATTATCTTATTTTAATAAGATATAATTTCACAAGATTTTATTATTGTTAGTAGAATTTTATATCATGTGATATAATAAAGTATGTAGAATTATACGAAGAAAAATTTAAAGAGACCTTGAGATATGCCTATAAGTAACAAGTTACAAAAGTGAGAGATATCTATCTCTACACTTCTTTTGTGTGCAACTTTTATGAGTTTTGCTGATGAGATCTTTTTTATATAGTTCTATAGTTTATATAATTCTAGTTCAAAAAAATATATTTATTCTTATATAGTTTTTTTTAAATTTATGTATATTTTATTATTTAATTTTAATTTAAAATTTATAGCTATGTAAATATGTATAAATGTATATATAAATTAGAACAAGTTATTAAGCACATGGATTTACTATATTTCGTTTGCTTGCTTGTTATGTATTGGGGCTTGGTTGTCTCTTTTGATATGCAATTGATATTATTATACTTACTTTCTGCCATCATTCAATGCACTGCAATAGTTGTTGACATTGAGTCCATTAAATGTTTAATCCAACTTTAAAACTAGGTATTCTATTTGAAGGTAGATAAATGGTTGTATATTATATAATAAAAATAAGCCATTATTAGATTATAAATCTAATTTCAACAATAAAATTGGTCCTAGCCATCTAAATTAAATGACTTGTACATTAAGGTAAAAGTATTGACATACAACAAAGTGCATAAGTGTAGAATGGATAGAAATTGATTTTTATAGGACATTGATTAGATATTGATAAAATTGATTAATCATCTATAGGGCAATCAATTCACGAGGTAGGATGGATGATTTAGTTGAGAGAAGCGATTAAGTATAAAATATTGGTTAAAATCTCTGTTTGAAGGTAAATATAAATTAGTTGAAGAAGAAGTAGACATGGCCAGACTGTGATAGTCATGAGCTAAGGTAAGCTTGGTGCTACCTCTTATTTTTATTTTTTTTATAAAAGAAGAGTAATGGATAGATTTTGAATAATAAAAAGTAAAATTTTGAAATAGAAGAAAGATTTGATTTATATGATATCAAATGAGAAATTAAATTTATTATATACTGAATTATAAGTAGAAAATTGGAAAGCCAATAATTGAAGATATGTGTGAAGTATAGATATGAATGGAAGAATTATTATACATTGATTATCGAGAGTTGAGAGTATACTTCAAGAAGAAGTCTATGGAGTCTAGAATCGTAAAAAATAGATTATTAGGAATGTCAATTAGTTTTGGAGAATTCTAGTGATTGGATTATGAAATGTTTCATAGTATCTTTTAAGATAGTATAGTATTACATATTGTTGTTATAAATTTAAAAAAGAAAAGAGACAATAAATGCATAAGATAGAATTATCAATTATAATATTTTATTTATTAGAAGAAGAATTCATAGATTGTGGAAGGTATTTTAGCTCCCTTGGGTGTTTTTAGTGGATCAAAAGATAATTGATTGTGTGATCTTAATGTGTAAACTCAAGCAGATAGTCTTTCTCTGTGTTCAAACTTCCCTATACAGGTTTATTCTGGGAAGGAATATGAAGAATAAGTAAAATAAAAATTATATTTTGGCACCATTGTCAAGGATTGATAATAGTATTGATTATTAGGAATTAACTATCAAACAAGTAATTTTGGATGTTATATGAAGAAGTTATCAAATTAATGCTAATTCAAAAGTAAAGCCAAAAGTTTAATTAGATTGGAAATAGAAAGCAATTTCAGTATTATATGATGAAAGATTATGGTTAATAAGAGTAAAAATACTACATTAAGATATGAGAGAGCACAAGCAAGAAATTTGTTGCAGGACAAGCAAGAATGTAATTTAAAAAAAAAAACATCAATAGAGTTGGATTAAACTATGGTTGCATGCCTATTGACATATCCAAGTATACCAAGAACCTGACAAATCTTTAATATTTCAGATTTATATATCGTTAAGAAAATTGCTAAGAGCACTCGTGAAAAATTTTAACAATAGTCCAACATATTTCTTAAGGTCGTTAACTGAAAGTGAAGGAGGTAGAAAAAAATAGGGTACTCCATTGTGTACTTTTTAATAGTGGATACAACCAATTTTACCAAGATTGATTCTTTAGAATGGCATAAATTGCTTATCAATAAGGGCAAATTTAGCTTGTTTCAAAATCTATCATTTTTACTTCCAATTAAATCAATAAAATTATTTATAAATAATAATAACAAATTGAGGAGGCTGGAAGGTCTAAAAAAGATAATTAGAGGAGGTAGTGTTTATTTTAATAA